ATGTGGACTCTATGTACAGTTCGTAAGGTCCTTCCTCAGCATGATCGCATCAACAGATAGCATTGGTGAGGATCATTTGTGCCAATACCTCCAATCGATGACAAAGCTGAAGTGCAGAGATGCTGAAGACTTTGACAATGTTGAACAAATCATTCAAATGTACACCAGAAGTTATCGATCAACCAAGTAGATATGTTGAATGTATATTCATTAAATTTCACCTGTAACATATTCGTCTGTGTTTATCTGTATGAACGAGTGATTATCTGTATGAATGAATGATTATCTGTAAAGAATGTGATACTGACCCTCTTCAGAACCACCCACATACCTCTTCACCCACACCTCTTCAGAACCACCCACCAACAAAAAACAAAAAGATTGTATTGTTTTAAATATTTTAATGACTCCTTGTCTTTTTGTTTTTTTGATCACCAATCACACATCAAAAATCAAAAGTACAACACGAAGTCACATACCACAAGCTGACACAGGACAAAGAACCAACAAATAACAAATAACAATGTTGCACATACTATTGCATCAGAGCCAGAATTCCCTTATGAATATTTTCAAATTGCTCGACGACATGGACAGACTATGTATTTCTCTGGTGTGCAAGCAACTAAATACCTTCTTGCAAGGAAGTCTTCTTAATATTCCACATAGCAATGCATCTGCATTCACACTACGACATTTTTTGAGTAAGTAAATGGGCAGGCGTATCTGTCTTTTATTAGACAAAAAAAACCCATCTGACCTGATTGTCTTCTGAACACCTATCTCAATCACAAACACAACACACTCACTACAGAGAAATCAATCAATCTATCATTTCCAAGCAGTAGTGGCAACAAAGATGGATATTTGGGTTACCCAAAGTATTTTGTAACTCGAGATGTTCATCAGACATACGTCTCTGATAATGGAGAGTTTACCGCTCTCCAAAACACTGTCGCAGAGGTCGTGCTCGATATCGAGAAGCCCTTCCAAAATACCTTCCCCAAAGGACTCACATCCTTGAATTTTGGAACACAATCTTGTATTGAACAACCAATTACGCAAGGTCTTTTTCCCTCCTCAGTGGCCAAGCTTAAATTTGCTTCAATTCACAATCAGCTCATTCACCCAGGTGATCTTCCATCGTCTTTAACCAAGCTATCTTTTGGCAAGCATAGCAGTAACAACATTTTACTGCCTGGATCTATCCCCCCATCCGTTGTATCACTTCAACTACGCGGCGAGTTTAGTTTGGATATCAAACCGGGCATAATCCCTTCATCTGTTACACAACTCGATTTTCGCGCTGGACAACAGTTATTGCCAGGTTGCATTCCCAGCTCTGTTACAGACTTGACTATCGGCAAGAGAATTGACCTCTCTTTGTCTACAGTTTACATTCCATCAAGTGTTGCCACCTTATCCGCGACAATAGTCGATGGTGGTGAGCCTGCGCCTGGGGTGCTTCCCTCCTCAGTCAAACTTTTAAAGCTTCGCTGGTTCTCTCCAAATCACATTCCCCCAGGATCAATTCCCTCTTCTGTTTTTGCATTGGAATTAGAGTTTAATCCCAAGCAGAACTTCCCAAAGGATGTCCTCCACGGTGTTCCTTCCTCAGTGACACATTTGCTCCTTGGGAATCGATTTAATCAAAAAATACGCCCCCAATTTATCCCATCCTCAGTAACAAGGTTGGAATTTGGATATCATTTTAATCAACATATTCTTCCTGGGGCATTACCATCCTCACTTACAGAATTAATACTAGGCCTGTCTTACAACCTTCCATTGCTCAAAGGTTGCATCCCAAACTCTCTCATCAAACTATCATTTAACAGCAAACATGGTGTTTACAATCAGCCATTCATATCTGGAACTTTACCTCATTCGATGACAAACCTCTGCTTATCATATCAATTCAATCAGCCGCTTCCACTAGAGTCGATACCATCAGTCACAAAATTGACTCTTGGTGCAAAATTCACAGGCAGATTGGACCATATCATCGATCAACTCCCCAACCTTGTCACCCTCATCATCCAACGCACCTTATCTTTACCAACTCCGTCACAAAGGAGAAGGATCAAAGAGATCATTATAGCCAGAAGCTTCGAGTCACAACCGACAGTATTTCTGCACCCATCCCACTTCATGCTTAATCCTCCCCCCAATCTCATCCTAGCACTACAATCAGCCCTGACTGTTCGAGTTGCAGTCAAATACACCGACAAAAAGAACAGTACCCACCACAACAAAATGTCATCCACCATCACCTGCAGAATGATTGACAATGACACAGTTGTCATGTTTTCCAAATTCCCTTTTCATTTTGGATTCTATCCAGCAGAAACAATCATTAATCGAAGAATCATTGTCCAACAACACCACTAAACAAACTATTAAACAATTTTTTTTTAGACCCAGAGACAACATGTTTCAATTCTCTTCCAAGAATTTGAACATAACCATATCCTATCCTGCCTTGAGAAGTAATAAGTACAAGGTGCTCTTATATATACCACTGGCAATATCAAAACATACATTGATGAAGCCAAAATGATGTATGTTATGAGTGTCAACACTGCCATCTTAGAACAGTTCGGTGGGGAGATCAGGTTGTACCAGGAGGTGGACCGAACATTTAGTATTGCTCCTGTTGTAAACAAAAACCCCAACCATTCATCTTTCAAAGGAGAGACGGCCAATAGAGCCCAGATCTCGGCCTTCAGAGAGTTCTTAGGACTGTCTTTGGGTAATTTCCCCAGTGTCACCCAGATAGATAGAACCAAAGCGTGGGAAATGATAGAGAATGTTGCCAGGAGTTTTGGAATCCAACCTTTGTCAACCCAGGAGTCTGCCCCTGCCATCAATCAATCACCTACAGAAAGCACCCCAATTGTTGTCCAACCAACTCCAACCGCCGTTGGGGACCAAATAGAGGAGCAGGCGACTACAACCCAACCTTTGGTCCCTATGGCTGACACAGACGTTTTAGGTAACCTCATAGGTTTGTTTCAAGCCCATGTTAATGTCAATGACCCCTCCACTCTCTAAGTTCCTGTTGTTAATTCAGTCAAGCAGTCAAATAATGAACTCCAATATCCAAATAATAATAATAATAATAATAATCCAATATTGATCCTCTAGAAACCCATTGACATGTCTTGATTGATGAAGCATATTGATGCATCATTAGAATGAAAGGTAATTTATCTTTGACTTCTGGATTGGTATTGATACAGAGGGTGATCGCTCAGGTGTGATTGATGTTGGATCATAGCCTGCAAAGTTGTTGTGATTTTGTTGTTGCTGTTGTTTGTCATTGTTGGTCAGATCTGGGATTGTTGGTGATGTCGTACCATTCGTCTTACTATGCTGCTGTTGCTCTATATTACTACTGATATCCTTGTGATTGCTATTTGATGATGGCTGTGAATAGAATGGATCTGGGTCGTCAGACGATCGGTATGATTCCTCGTTGTTGTTTGGAGGCGATGATGATAGAGTCGGTGAGGTGTTGCTGATGATCGATGCATTCGGATGACGAAGTGTGAACATGATACGATTGGAGACTCGAGTCGACATGGTGTCTCGCACACTGGTCTTTGCATTCCATTTGGTCGAGGCTGGTGGGTCGTAGATATGTTTGTCCGCCGTCTTTGGCAGAGGCAACGTCGCCGCTGCACCACTGCCATTGAGCTTGATATCCTCAAACTTGGAGATGCTGTCAAACTGTCGTTGCTGTTCACTCTTTGACGCGGCCAATGGCGCACCACCCTGTTTGGATCCGCTCAGCGCGGTGGACGGCGAGTCCAAGATCTTTCCTCCCACGGCAACGCCCAGGTTGACCGATGACGATGATGAGCTGAGTGGCGATGACGACGACGATGATGGCGGTGAGTTGACCATCTGACCCGAGTGATTGAGTCCGTTGCCATTCGTCGTCCATCCATTGGACTCCATGTAGTGAGGCTGCATCTCGGTCAGCTTGCTGGTGTGCAGCTCGCTGGCGTCCTCGCCAAACAGCACACGCTCCATGCCAAAGTATATCTCGTTGTACTTGCGCGTCATCTGGGCTTCGTTGATCTCCTTGGCGTATGTAGTGAGCAGTCGTTTCGTTCGTGCCAGATATAATGAGCCTTCGTATGGATTATCGTTGGCATGTGAAATGGCGAGTATGAACACCTCGCTCAGTATCATATAATATACTCGGTACATATTCATCACTACGATCGATCCTGTCAGATGGCTTGTTGAGCCCCTTGATCTATATTTGATTGATTGGATTGATGTGTGAGTGGGATATCATGGACAAAGTCGACTTTGACTCTCTGGCGTGACCTACATGAATGCATTGTCATAGGATGATATTTGATTTATGAAGGCTCTGGATACAAGGTATGCCTTTTCATGAGATAGATACTCTCGTCTGATGTGTGTGGGTTAGTGGATGAAGGTGGAACATACTTCCAACATGAGTAGCTCATTGACTTACACTTGTTGGAATATAACATTTCCATTGTGAAGTTGGACCATCAGTCCAACAATCGTCATCTTTGTAGGTTGTTGTATATATATATATATATTATATGGATAGAGATATGTAATTATTCCTTGATGTGATCCAAATCCTCCTACTTTGGTCCTCAATCAATCAATCAATCAATCAATCTGTTTTGTGATTATAATTTAAATGTGTTATATTAGTACATCAAGTGATAAAGAAGAAGAAGAGATAAGTGAGCGAGTGAGATGATTGATGTGATGGTAGATGATGATGACGACCCAATCAATCCAATCCAATCCTCTCAATCCAACTTCGAAGTTGATTGACAAGGGGGGAAGACGACTCTCTGGGCACAACTGTTTGTGGGTGAGATTGTTGGGTGTGTGGCACCTTATCTGATTGATTGATTGAATGTTACACAAAGTGATCGGTCACTGTTGTGTGTGTGTGTGTGTGTGTGTTTGTGGTGGAGATGGAAATGCGCAGATGGGCTGTATCGATGATTGGTGATCGCCAATGGTGGTATAGAGTGGTCTTGATAAAGTGATACGGTACCTGTATATGTTTGTATCTGTGTCTATGTGTATGAGTGGTAAGGTTACTCTAAGTATGGACACTTGTTTGGCTTTAACTTTGGCTTTTGTTTTTGGCTGTGATTGATTGAATATTAAGTCTCCTTTATATCGTTATCTCTCTCTCTCTCTCTCTCTCTCTCTGTTTATTGCTATCTTTTCTATTTTGTTGTTATTTTTGTGTTGTTGTTGTTGTTAATAAAGATAACGATGCGATAATGGGATTGATTATAAATTAGTGTTACAAGTTTGGCGCTGTTCTTGATGTGGCTGGTTACCCAAAACATTGGTGATTGTTAGTGAAGCCTGCAAAAATATAAAAAATATTAAAATGGCAAAAATATCTGTTTTTGGACCTCGATCAAAATAGTCAGATCTGACTGAACACGAAAAAGTGTCACTGATGGGTCCATCATCAATCATGATCAACACACACGACATGGTTGATGTAACAATCAATCAATCAAAGACAAAGATATATCCAATATTATTGGGAGATATAGATAGATAATTAGATCAAGTATGTGTATGTGTTTACGGATTTACTTGACCAGTTTAATTGCACAGTCGTGGCAGTATGCACTACCTTGCACTTCGTAGAAGTTCAGTGATGGGAATGGCGACTGGCAACCCTTGCAAGCAAAGCACTTGTTGTTGTTGTGGTACTTCATGCCCTCCAGCTTGATGAGCTCACGCGACTCGATTGGCTGATGACAGCCGTCGCAGGTCTCCAGCTTGGCCTGCTGCGACTTTTGCACACAGCTCAGACACCAGGGCTTGCCCTCAAGCTGGTAGAACTCGTTGTTCTCAAAGTGCGAGTGGCAGCTGGTGCACTTGAAGCACTCGGTGTGGTAGGTGTTCTTGAGCGCCGACACCACCGTGCCCAGGATGGCCTTGTTGCAGAGCGCGCACACCTTGTGCTCGACAAAGCTGCGGTCGTAGCACTCCTCGCAGTAGGGCTGATCGTTGTGCACCAAGAAGCTCTGGATCTGCTTGCTGCAGCTGTTGCATGTGAAGTGCTCCACGTGCCATGCTCTGTCCATGGCCTTGAAGTGACTGCCATCAATGATACCATTGCATCTGTGGCAGGTGAGGTCGTCAGAGGAGCCACCACGTGGTGATGACAAGTCATTGAATGATTGATTGTACTGTTGCTGTTGCTGTTGTTGTTGATGATGATGATTGTTGTGCGACTCATGCTCAACCTTTGGTGGAGCAACTGGCTCAGGGACGTGGTGGTGAGTGGACACTGGTTGAGTCACTGCTGGGGCGACTGGATGGGATGGTGCTGGTGCTGGTGCTGGTGTTGATGATACAGTAGCAGCGGGTGGTGGAGTTGGTTGGCTTGTTGACAACTGGTGCCACTGGGCTGACGGTTGGAGCTGGCTTCCTGATTCCGACTGATGCCACTGATGTCACTCTGGGTGGTGCAGTGTGCATGGTGGCAGTCTGAACGACTCTGCCAACAGGTGACACTGCGGTACCAGGTGCGACCCAGTTGACTGGTGTGCCACTAGTCTTGGCCACTGGTGTAGCCTGTGATTTGAATGTTGGTGATGTGGTCGATGTGGATGAGGTGGTAGATGAGGTGGTTGAGACGACTGGTGGAGCAGGTGTTGGGGTTGTCGTTGATGGAGCAACTGGAGCTGGAGCAACTGGAGTTGGAGCTGGAGCAACTGGAGTTTGAACTGGAGCTGGGGGAGTTGGAGTTTGAACTGGAGCTGGAGGAGTTGGAGTGGCTGATGATACAACAGTGGTGGAGGTGGTGGTTGTTGAGGTTCTCACGATTGGAGCAGCCTTGGAGATGACTGGTGCCGACTTTAGGACACCACTCGCAGGCTTGACCACTGGATTTGAGCCAATCTTGGCCACACTGACGAATGTCTTTGGTGTTTCTGACATTATACTATAGTATCACAAATCTGGAATGTTTGTTTGTGTTTTTTGAAGAGAAGAGGTAGATGTATGAGTTTAGAGATATTCCTTATTTGCTTGTCTGTCTGTCTGTCAACTATTTAGATATATAAAGTTGATGTTGCGGTTGATGTTGTTGTTGATGTTGTTTTGTGTAAGTGGATGGCTGTTGTTGATGTTATTGTTGAATAATGGTATGTGTGTGTCGATGCTATTGCTAGATGTATCCATCAATCCACTCATTCATTCATCCACTCATTGTGGTGTGGTGTTGTTTAAATCCATTGATTGATGATGGTGGTGGTGTTCATTTAAATGAACTTAGGTGATGGATGTGTGTTACTTGTGAGTGTGTGTTACTGATTTGTTGAAGATCCTGATGACCATCAACAGGTACAGACACCACCACTACCAAAGACATAACAACAAAATTACTTCTATTACTACTTCTTCCGTCCTACCTCCGATATCCACCCTCCTTCTCACAGCAGCACCTCGGTCTTGATCATATTCCTTCCTTCCTTCCTTCTTCATCTACTCTATTATTATACATACATTATACAATGAGAGAGAGAGAGAGAGTGAAAGAGTGAGAGTGATATATATTTGAATATAAATACAAATTTGAATATATATTTAACTGTTTAATAATGTTTGTTTGTCCAACAATGAAGCTTTGCTGTTTGGGTGAGTTGATCACCCATCCTCAAAAATTATTTGAAGAATCAATCAGGTGTCAACTTCACGACAGCGCTGTAAAATTATTTAAATAATAATTATTATTATTTGATTGAAGGATGGACTTGGTTGTTCATCCCGATGATGATGACAAAGTTGTACATGTACCCCTCAAAGTTGATCGTGTCGTCGATTATCTTGTTGCCTGTTGAGCAACAATAATGTTGTTATTATTGTATTAATAAGTTTCAATATCGCATCTACAATGTTGTAGTGGCGTTGTCGTCGTCTTCGAGCGTATCCTCTGGGTAGTAGTACTCCTGGAGTAAACGGTAGATATACGATGGATTGTGTGCACCACTGGAGTGATTGATTGATTGATTAGTATGATGGATTGACGACATGCCAAGGTGCAATAATAATAACACATACATATTGGTGACGAATAAACTAACCAACTCTGGTGGGATGTAGTCAAAGTTGGGATTGTAGCTGTGTACCTGCTCCAGATGCTCAGCCTCTTTGAAGGCTAGGTAGGCATTGGGTGATCCATAGTCGTTGTAGGTGTCCTGATCATAGGCGTAGAGTGGACAGAGCTTGTAGAGACCTGTGCACACCATCACTGGTACCGAGTGGTACTTGGCAGCGACCGCCAGCATATGTGTTCCAGATGTAGCAATCAGTCCACCATTGGCCATCACTGCATGTGTTCCAATGATCACCTTGTTCACACGAGACATCATCGCAAAGATTGCACTGTCACTGATCAGAGTAGTATCTATTCCTGCCTTTGATAGATTCAATGCTGTAGTGTGTCCTTCCAAACTAGATTGAGTGGAGTTGAAATGAGTGATTGAGTGAGTTAGTGCCGATGCCTCATGATTGCATTGTCTTGGCATCACTTACGATGGTGCAGTCTCGACAACGATCACACCGAATTTACGCTTGCGACCTGCCTCCTTGAGGAACTCCTCAACTGTACGTGAACATCCAAGTGTCATGATAACCTCGCTGTGAGTGATCATTGTGTTAGTCCACCAATCCATCAATGAATCAATCAATAATGTATCTCTTACTTTGCATGTATATGTTCTTTGTATTGCTCAGAGATACTCTTGTGCAACACCTTTAACTCTTCGATGAGGTCAGCAATCTGTTCGAGCACTGATGACTTTAGAGCATTGAATGGTGTCATGAAGTCCTGATCCTGTGGATCTTCCAACGTCATCAGATTGTTCCTCGATGTATCCAGTCTGATCTTACTACTATCTCTCTTTATAGTCAAATACTCCTCTCTGATGATATATAATATACGTCTAATTATATTGCCAATGCAGAACTCTGAATAATTGTTTGATTGATTGAGTTAGAATGAGTTGATTGATGTAGTTGATGAAGTTGATGTAGTTGTATATTACCTAATGGTTGTGTCTCAATCAATCGTTTACCGATTGTCTTTATCTGATCGATCAATACCTTGGCATTGGGCCATCTTGTTGTTGATATGTATTGCCTCAACACCTCTGCCGTCGCCTTTGACACTGCGAATGATCCTGTAATCCTCTTTCTCTTTAAATGTAATATAAAGCTCTCTAGTTGTGCTTCCATTCTCTACTCTCTCTATATTATATATATAACAAATATATAATCTCTAATCTTAATAATGAATAATTGAATGACTGATCGAAACACTCAACTTAAGTTCATCACTCCCCTCAATGTCTTTGGTGTGTTCGCGAAAAAGAAAAGAACAGAAGTGGACTTGCAGACGTCCATTCTCTTCAAACTCACAACAACACACAAGTCAAAAGCAGGATGAGGGCGATACTTCAAAGAGTTAAGAATGCATCTGTAACAGTAGATGGTAACATAGTGTCTGCTATTGGTCCTGGCATCATGTGTCTAATAGGTATAACCAATGATGATACAAAAGCAGATTCCGATTGGTTGTATGTTGTATACTTTCATCCAATGTGTCATGCCCTAACCTCTTCCGCCGATTCATCCATTCATTAGATGTAAGAAGATACTTAGTTGTAAACTATGGAGTGAATCTGGAAAGAGTTGGGCAAAGAATGTAAAGGAGATGAACTATGAGATACTGTTTGTTAGTCAGTTCACTTTGTATGCTGTTATGAAGGGAACCAAACCAGACTTTCACAAGGCTATGCAATCAGAACAATCAAAGATCTTCTATGAAGCATTCCTCAAAGATGCCAAGTCATCCTATAACCCAGATATGATCAAAGGTATGTCTGTTCATCATTCGTTCATTCAACTCTCATACTCATTCATTCACACAAGATGGTCAATTTGGAGCAATGATGGATGTAGGATTGGTCAACGACGGGTAAGTGATGGGATTGCAATTGGTGGATCACCTGACCAAACGACGTCACTGACATTATTTGAACCTTATAGACCAGTTACGATCGTTCTGGATTCCAGGGATAAGTGAGCAAGTGAAGTGAGTGAGTCTTTGCCTGGTTTTGGTTCCAGCAGTGGCCGAATGCTGCAAATGATAGGAGGTCCTACAGACTCGTGTAGACTGATGCAGATTGGTGTTGTTGGCACAGACACAAAAGATACATCATTGTTCATTAAAGAGTTATTCGTGCATCTGGTCTCTGGCTGGCAGGGTTGATGTCCGACAACCAACCAAAAGATATTGTTTTTGACAAAAAGTGCGAAGGAAACTTCAATTGACATGCAATGACACGAGGCGTGGGGTTAGTGAGTGAGGGGAAGCCTGTCATTCCTGTCAACATTGTTGTTGTTCCTTAGGTGGGCACAACACTTCCTCACTTCCCACACTCATAACACACAAGACGAACAAACATATAAACATACCCATTCCTTCATTCTATCACACTCCCAACAACAAACCACGTAAACAACAACTTAATCACAAACACATCACACAACTTACTCCATCTTAGACTTAATAGACAGAGTATACAGATAATAAGTGGATAAGACAGATAGAGTGGTACACCTCTTAGTCAATCTCCAACAACAAGTTAGACATTCAGGTGAATGAATTTCAATCAGAGCAATGTACAGAGCCCAGAGTCTACAGCACTACTGGGCAATATCAATGATGGAAGCATCGATGATGATGACCATGAGTTTGACTACGAGGGCAATCAAAGAATCTCAACATGGACAACCATAAAGAACTTCTTGGCCAGAGTATTCTTGCCAAAGGGTGAGATGCCTCATGACGGTAGGTAGCTTGAGTTGAGTTGAGTTGTTCCATTACAAGTTGTAATACATACTCACTAATAATGACAACAACAATATAGATCGTATCAATATGGATTGGCTACAGAAGTGGAGGAAATATAATAGGTTCCCATTCAAGCTAGTCGTCCATTTAGTCATTACAATTTGTTTGACAGTACTTGTATGTTATGTCATTATTCCGCGTCCAGCTGGAGAGATACACAACTAACATTGATTGATTCATACAAATAGATATTCGTCCAGACTGGCGACCTCACCTCCTACTCTGTTGGTACGGAGGGCACTTGGTACAAGGTGTTCTTCCCTTCAGACTTCCAATACGAAGGTGACTTTGGTGCCAATGTCATATACCTCTATACAGTACAAGACTGTGTAGACCTTATCCAAGAGGATCTAAATAATGTATGTTGTTATCAATGATATGACTCTGACGGACACTAACTTGTCTTCCCTTTCCTCCCTTATCCAGTACAATACATTCTTGAATACATCTGTCAGTAAGTTCAAGATGCTCAATGCTGGTACCTCCGAACCTCCCTATCAAGCCCAGTTGTCAATAGCAATGTACAAACACTGTGACCAGATATACGACACATCCATTATGACTGCAAACATGGACACTGAGACAAGTATGCTCCACGTGATTGGCTAGTGGATGTGTGGTTCGCTCACTTACTAACACACAATACAACCAATAGCACGCTACACTGTTACATCTGATAACATTGGACCACTCAATGCTAGCTTGGATACATTACAAGAGATGTTCTTCTGTATGTCTAGTATGTGGCTAGAGTTTGAGTTCTCAAACGTACACATCGAGTATGATCATCCCGTCGAGTACACCTGGACCATTGCAGTCAACTTTGATAACTCTATCCAGAGTGGACGTGTCTCTACATCGTTGATCCTCACCAAGTATCGAGTGTCAGACTGTATGTATAAGCATTGGCTTGCCCTCTCCCATCCAGAACAACATTGTTGTATTAACCAACCAAACATAACAGTACCATACAGCAAGTTGATTCAATCATCCAAGATGATATTGGAAATCATTTTGATCATATTCTCTTTGCTGTCACAGATCATGGCATGGCGTTCATTCATGTTCTCCTTCAAGACATTCCAGAGAACAAAGAAGTTGGTCAGACGTATCTCATCCAAGCAAAAACTTTCTGCCTCGATCAACTGGGGCTCACTGCCTATCAGGACCAAGCTCAGATTCTTCAATCTCTGGTTCATAGTCTGCTTCATCTGCAACTTCTGCACGATCATTGGAGCATCGTTGGACTTCTTTGAAGCCACATCCAACGCCACCAAACTTCTCATTGGCTTTGCAACACTGTTGTCCTGGATAAACATGATTCGTTACTTGGAGTTTGACAGGAAGTCAATTGTAAGTTTGCCATGGATAGTAGTTATTCAACATCATCTTGACTGACCACTCAATCAAATATTAGGCTTTGGTAAGAGCACTAGGAATGGGTCTCCCAACTGTGTTGAGATTCTCAGCTGGCAGTCTTCCAATCTTTATAGGATTTGCCTTGTTTGGTCTTATGTACTTCTCAGAGACTTCATCAAGAGTATGTACACTTCACATTCAGACTTAAGTATCCATACTAATCCAATCACATTCAATTACAATGAAAATAGTTCAGTACATTTGGAGAGGCAATAGTGACACTCTTTGGTCTACAGAATGGAGATGATATCCAATCTACGTTCAGATCAACAGAGAAGTCACCAATCGTTTCCAGAATCTACTTCTTTGTATTTATATTCATATCGATGTATGCCGTGGCAAACATTTACATTGCCATTATGGAGGGCGCCTATTCCCAATGTGTTGGTGTAAGTATATCTATAATATGTTCAACCTTGCAATGTGGACCATCAACTAATACACAATCAATCATAGATCAAGTCCAAGCTTGAGAGAAAGAAGGACGAGGAAGACTCACAGAGACAGGCAGGCGATGAGTTGAACGTTGATGACCAGCTTTGGGATCAACTGTTGGGCCTGAAGGAGTCTTCAGACAGCGAGTCTGAGATCAAGAAGAAGAAGAAGAGAAGGTTGATTGGCAAGTTGGCTACCAACAGGTCTATGACAGAGTCCCAGATAATCTCAGCGGATCGCGCTGTTGGTGCATTCGACATGGACCTGATAATTGAGGAGGTGTCAAAGGCCATCTTGGAGAAGCAGTTGGAGTTCAACAAGGAGGTGCAGAAGCTCATCAAGAACTCAATTCATCAGAGAATAGAGACAATGGTCAAGGCTCATCAGATCTCTGTATCAAATGTACAGGATGATGACAACAGTACGAACAGTAGTAATAACAATAATAACAACAACAACACCAGTAGTAACAACAATGCCGATCAATCAGCCAGTTCAAAGGTGGACCAGATCAACATATTTACCGACGATGACAACGATGATGTGGACAGTCAATAAACCAATGATGGAAATGGCAACGACAGCCATCCAAAAGAAAGAAAGAAAGAAAGAGAGCAAGAGAGACTTATGATCGATCAGTGTCCACTTAAGGACACTTACTGTTTTTTTGTTTATGTTATTTGTCCAAGGACTGTCTATACTTGTGCGAGAGTCTGGCTCGCCAGGATGAGAGGCCAGTGTCGGGTGTATCTCTACCAATGGTGCTGCCTGCTGCAGCAGCCGCTGCTGACCTTGACGGAGATGTGAAGTACTTGGCCATGATCTCGTCAGTCGTGCTGACATATTTACGTTCGCTGGTGGATGGCACCTCTTGTAGACTGGTCTTGGAGGGTGTCTTGGAGGGTGTCATGAATGACATCTTGCTGTCGCTTAAAAGGGTAGGTGTTGTGAGTTGGTTGTTGGCTCGGGGTGGTGTGGGTGTCGTCATGGTGGCAGCAGTGGCGACTGTGGCGGTGCTGATTGATGAGATATTGTTGATGATGTTGTTGTTGTCGTTGATGGTCGATATCAGGTCATTACCCAATCGCACCACCTTTGATGATTGAAAGAATGATGATTGGTTATCATCATCATTGTTGTTGATGTTGCTGTTGTCGACTTCTTCATTGTCACTCTCAAAGATAGAGTCCGAGTTGAATGAGGGCAAACTACTGGATTTCTTGGGTTTGGCAAAGATGAAGCTGTCGTCCTCTTGAGTATCGGTCCTAGATCCATCTGGTGACGAAGGTGTGGACAATGGAGTGAATTTCCTGTTGGATATTTGGTTGTCAGTTTGGAGCTCCAGGTGTCTGGTATCTAGTAAACATACGTTTTCTTTGTTCCATTTGGGGAGTCGGTCGTGGAGAATGTTTCTTTGCGCTTGAAAGTGAATGATTGTATCTGTGGAGATGATGTCAATGATGTTGATGAAGTCGAAGAGAACAAAAGTGACTTTCTCTTGTTGTCCTGGAATGATCCAGATCCAGTGTCATCATTGGGTTCCTCATAGTCCTGAGTGTTGTTCGTGTTGTTGTTGTTGATGCCGCCACTGTCATTATTGAAGATGTTGTTGTTGTTGTTGCTAGTGTTGCCATTGATATTGACATTGAATGACCTATTGCTGACAGTTGTTGCAGCCGCTACTGCTGTGGACTTTAGCACTGTGCTCTCCTTCTTCTTGCCGTACATAAACTGTTCAAACATGTTGAGTGTGAGCCTGTCCTCTGTGAGCAATGTATTCTTCTTGAATGACTTGTTTGCGTTGGTAGTGGTCGTGGAGGTAGTTGATGTTGTAGATAAAAATGATGATGATTGCATAGATGTCGTTGTCGTTGATGATGTTGATGTTGTCGCCACTGCTGATGACATAATAGGAGATGACGTTGTTCCATTGCCTCCATCGTCCATTTCCTCGAGCTCATCGAAATCAAAGTCAAAGCTGTCCTCCAATTGGACATTTGATAAGAATTTGCTTGTCATTGTCTTGGTTGGCGCTGTAGTGGCAGTAAAGGTTGTAATAACCATGGTCGTTAGATTGGTGGTGGACAGGACAGGATTGGACTGGGCGGGACTGGACGGTGGTTGGATGGGATGATGGTACATACGTGAGTCAGTGTCTCCATCATTCTTGTCCAAAGAGTTCAATGCCTCCTCCTCAATATCGCTCTCAAGTTCGAATGGATCTGGTTTGTTCTTGCTTTTTACAGGTGTTTGTTGTTGTTGTTGTTTGTCTTTCTTTTGTACATCTGATTGTTGGATGATGGTTAGTCCTGGCAGTGCCGTGCAGGTGGGATGCGTCTGGATGATAACTTACTAAAATATTGCGTGATTTGATTGGCTTCAGAGACTGATGAATAGGATCCACCTTTCTTTGGCTGAGGTTTAAAGGTGAATGTGAACGAGACACTGTTATCGAATGGTTGCTTTGTCTGTGGATCAACGACGGCGATTGCAATCTTCTCGGCGATCTCACTCTCGATATACTCTCCGAGGAAGTCTGTCGTGTCAAACATTGATGCCAGCTTCTCTTTGTCTATTGGTGAGAAGTGTACAATCTCCTTGTTGACTGGATCATACACCAATTGATGTCTGAACGTATAGTCTGCCTTGTAGAATGATATTCTATATTCCTCTTGCATTCCCTTCTCACTCTTTAGTGCTCTGAATATCTAAAGTTTGAGTGATTGAATGAGTGAGTGATTGATTGAATGGGATGAGTTGATTGAGTCGCTGGCCAGTCCATACCTTCTCAATATCTCGATGCCTCTTGACATATTTATAGGCTGTCTTGATGCCCATACCAGTGAGAGAGGGGAGGTAGTCACAGCCAGAGAGGATACACATGTGTCGCAGCATTGTCAACGTAAAGTCAGTAAGATCGTAGTCCTTGCCAACACAAGTTCCAATGTCCTCTGTCTTGATCTCCTGACAATATCCATCTCTATCCATCTTGAACAGCATCTTTTGTTTGATTGAATGGGGTGTTAGTAACGAACGAACGAACGAACCTTCGATCGCCACGATACATACATTGGGTGTGCCATATGCAACGAGATCAGAATCCTCTGTGAGTACAGCATCGATCTGTCCAGAGACGGCGAGATATGCCAACTGTGCATCGGCTTCGTAGGGTGCCACAAGGTACTCAATGTTCATCTGTCTCAGTACTTTGATCAGTTGGAACGCCATAAAAGGTGTGACGTCAACAGCCTTTTGGAAGCATCGATTCGCTTCATAATGGTTACCCTCCATCAAATATGCATTAGCCTTTGCTCTCATCTGGTCTCTCTTTCTAAATGAATGATAATCATAATTAATATTATGATATCAGCTGATCGATCATTTTGATCACAATATACATACGATCTTCTATCATCCTCTGTCACCTTCTTGTTTGGTAATGGTCCTCCATCAAACACCAACACTGGTATCACCTTGTTACTGCACAACATTGTCAACAATGACACGCAATATGATATATATCTGTTTGTTTGATTGTATGATCATTCAATGTTAGTGATATGATGATTGGACAACAATAGATAGACGACATACTTTGTAGTTGGTATACCTTGACAGAGCTCTTGACTGCATGGATAGACTGCTTTGTGTAGCCAACAGTAGCCATCGATTCCCACGCGTTTGTTGGCATACTCTCTGATGTGCACCCTCCTCGTCACAGGAGAGAGCAATGGCAGCAGTCCAGATATTCCCATACTGTCAACATGTGTATATCATCAAATAAATAGTATGTATATGTAATAATAATAATAACAAACGAGAATAAGAGAATTGTTTGTGTGTGTGTGTTTGTTTGTTCGAGAACACAACAAGGTTAGTCGAGTGAAAGGCGCCTTTTTATGGGAAATACACTGTTTTTTATTCAAGCCCTTGTACTAGTAACATGTCAATGAATGAACACACAATTTAGATAGAATAAGTATTGACTTAGGTTCTAGATGACCATCATCTTAGACTTTGATTCAAGGTCTTGATCTTTAAACAACAAGTAAAACGATGGTTTAATGTTTGCATTCAAATCCTCAACACTCAAGAAAACATCAAATCGTGTTCAGCTGAATTGTTGACTTGAATTTCAATTAATTAATGAATATAAATCTAATCTGAGGACAACAACATCATCAACATTGACGACAACATTTAAGGAGGTCTAAAGGTTGACGACATCATTCAACAGCACACGCAAAACAAACAGAGACACAGACACAAACACAACAAACAAAGATATTGTGTACTTCATCGACACACACATTACAACGAGAGAACTCACTCACTCACAAAGACCACCTTTGACGTCTCTTGGTCTTTGATCATTCAATCAATCAATCAATCAATCAATCAGCATTTGTAGTAATACATAGATCAATCGATCGTCATCAACAGCTATAGCTAACATTACAAATGAACTGCATTGTAAGTGATATCTTGATGATGATTACAATGATGAGTGACACTAACTATCAAATATACAATATATATAATAGGTCTATATTTATAACTTACAGACGTCGATCAATATTGCCATGGGGCAAGATACGACGATAGCACAATTAAAGGCTAATATTGTACAGACGGCTAGTTCAAAGTTGTCTGTAATGATACCTGAAGCTAATATCGTGGTGTCTTTATCGCCACAGTTTGATAACATCATCAAGTCGGTGCCATGGACCAAAGTGCTCTCACTCGATCAGATCAAACGACTCGTACCAAACATCAGCGAGGTCCTACTGGCCAACAGACAATCATCCGTTGTGCTGCCACTCTACGTCGCGACCACCACTCAACCATTCAACAATGATACCAACATACAATCTCAACAACAACAGGCCAACAACAAGAGGAGTGCAACGATGTCACCTACCAAACAGTTGAGTGGGATGGTTATCAATCAAATGCCACAGCCTGTACTTCCAGTTGTGGCGCCAACCCCTGTGTTGGAGGCCCCCGCAGTCCAATCGAATGGAGGCAGTGGTGGGCCCTCCTACCAGGCAGTACAACAGCATCTCTATAACCAGTATCAAGGGTATCCTTTGCCATACCAACAACAACAACAACAACAACTACAGCCACAACAACCATTGTATATGCCATACCAACAACAACAACCACAGCCACAATACTACATGCAGCCACAACAGCCTCAGTACCAACAATATATGCCGCAACAACAGTCACAGTTCTTCATGCAGCCACAACAACCACAGTACCAATACATTGTGCCACAACCTCAACAACTTCAACAACATCTACCTCAACAGCAGCTGCAGCCTCAACTTCAAATGCAATCAGTCCTGCCAGGCGACTTTACCATCACCAACAGCAGCAAGGAGAACAATGCACCAAGACCAAAGCCAGCATTCAGGAAGTCAAAGTCTGATCTGTTGGAGACAATCAAGAGGGAGTATGGCGGTGTCTCTCCATTTGCCAAGCAGACATCAGACTCCCAAACAGCAGCAGGATTCGAATCCGCTGCACCACAAGGCGACAACACGTCCAAGTCTCAATTCACTCCATTTACATTGCCACCTCTGCAATCGATGCAGTACAATCCACAACAACAACAACAACAGCAGCAACAACCTGCTGCGCAACAACAGCAGCAACCAACACATATGCCTCGACCCAAGCCAATATTCCTCAATCAGCCAATCAATGAGGACACGTCTCAGGTGTCATTCACGACAACATCGTCCAATAGCACTACCATTGGAGGTGGACTCGATTACAAACAATCAACACCCACTAGTCCACCACCGCAAATGTCCAAGGGGAAGTTGGGATATCGCGAGAAGGATGGTGGAGCACTTGACCTCAAAGAGTTTGAGAACAACAACAGCAACACCAACAACACCAACGTGCCGGAGGACTTGCCCAGCGCACAGAAGAAGCGTTCATCATCATTCACCTCGACATGGATGCCCAACTTCAGGTCCTACCAGAACATGAACACTGCGCAGCAGCAACCGCAATATCAAACGACACCCATTGGCTCAACAAACAATATGGACAGCATTGCGAATGGAGCATCAACATCATCTGGCGGTCTCCTAAGCTTCAAGCCTCTGGGACAGTCTGATGAGATCACGCCCTCCTTCCAATCGTTCAGGCGTCAGTCCTTGCTCGATGGAGCCATCATCCATCAGGGTGATCTGTACAAGAAGAACAGATCGGGCGTTGGATGGAAGCGACAATGGTACATTCTCACATCAAAGAAACTGCTCCGATGCTCATCACAGAACGACGCACCAAGCAGTGAGCTATCTTTGTCTGATCACGTGTTGAACGTGTTGAGCAGCGAGACCAAATACTCGTGCTTCTCGCTCACATCAAACACTGGCTCTGGCAACTTCATCTTTGGTTGTGAGAGCGAAGAGTCCCGAAAGGACTGGCTATGCGCGCTCACAATCACCTCCCATGCGCTCAACATCACACTCGACCTAGGTGGTCTCGAGATCATCTCCATTCCCAATCACAGAGGCACTCCAAGTGAGAAAGAGGTAAGTAGTTAGTATATTTGATTGAGTGAGTATGACATCGACTAACTGAGCCATCATTCAATCAATCAATCATGTAGTTTGAGTATCACAAACTGATACCTTCAGACATTAGAGTATCACATTACTCTGAGGACATTGCATTGTTTAGATCAAAGATGTTGAAGATGTTCAAGATTGCTTCCAAATGGATGTTCACATTGGATCACAAACTACCTGTTGAGATGAATGGCAACAAGAAGCAGAATATATCACCATCATCAGGTGACTATACACTTGCCCCATCCACCCCAGTCAAGAGCAATGGAACACACAACAACAACAGCAACTCAAAGGTCAACCTACTCTCTGTGTCTGTGATCAGTCAATACGCACAGAATGCAGGTACATTGGTCAAGCTGTCAGTGTATCATAATGGACTGGTCATCAAGTTCAAGGTCGATGTGAACCAAACGATTGGCTCCATACTCTTGGCGCGACCAGATCTGTTTGAGAACAATCCAAAGAGATACGGACTCAATATCCTGGGATCAATGGAGCACGTATTCGATCATGCCATTCGCCTCTCTGATTTGGCCTACGTCACCAAATGTCTGCGCTTCAGGAAGGCCATCAAGTTCCAGACAGTGGACATGCAGCTACACACCAAGCTGTTCACCTACAACACCATGACCACAAACGAGTGGAGTGCATTCATGCAGTCGATGAACTCATTCGATGACCAAGACACGATCAAAGCACACATTGTACGAGCCAAGAAGATACTACCGGCTGGCGTCGAGAGTACCAAGCTCACCATCTCTGTCATGAACGTCGCCAACGTCCAAACACTCCTTCGACAGTTTGGCGTGCCTCCCAACCAAGTCTCAAAGATACCACTTTGTGTCGAGATGAAGATGTACGTACCTCAAATGATCACATTTGATTGATTGAACGATCGACTAACACATCATAACATACACAGTTTCTATGGAAACAGATTGTTGAGCAAAGGAAGGACATCGGCACAGGTCACTGGTGAGTGGAATGAGAAGATATACTTCAACATCAAGACGGTGGATCTGCCCAAGGAGGCCATCATCATAGTTGACCTTCTGGGCAAGATCACATCGTCCACCGAGCCCATCACTCTGGCACAATATCCAATGATGTTTATGAATGCTGATGGAAGAAAGGTCATCTACACCGAGTACGACCTCCAGCTCATCTCATGTATGTTAGTGTATCCATCCAGCCACAAGTATACTGGACCCAAACTAACAACACTCCACACTCAATCAGTCTCACCAAAGTCACAATTGGTCATCAACAACATGATAAGTGATGCAAGCATTTCAACCATATCACTGTCGATTGATCCAAACAATGTGCAGGCCGCACCAACACTCAAGCTGCACATCGCAGGTGTATCCAACGGTTACCCTATATACTTTGAGGAGCCAGACTTCCCAACGGCGACCAATGTCATCTCTCCCCAATTGCCCACACCATCCGAGTTGTTGGTGATTGAGTCATGTCTGAGGACACACCGCACCTTTATCAAAGAGTCTGAGAAGTCCATACTCTGGAAGCACCGATTCCACCTCAAGACCAGCTATCCAAACATCCTACCTTCCCTAATGTACTCTGTGCCATTTGAAGACTATCAAAAGAGATATGAAGTATACGAGTAAGTACTGTCAGTCCCTTATTAACAATCATTCATTCATGTCTAACACCTGTCCAACCAACTACAGATTGATAGGTGGATGGCCATTGTTGGACCCAAAGATTGGACTTGAGCTATTGAGTGCAGACTTTATCGATGCCAAGCTGCGAGAGAAAGGAATAGAATCAATCAATCAATGGGACGACAACACATTGGCATTGTATCTTCCACAGGTTGTTAATGTAAGTCTAGCAACACCAACCCATGTTGGCTATGATTCTCATCACTAACTCCAACAACAGTCACTCAAATTCGAACAGACTCACTACTCTCCGCTCTCATGCTTCTTAGTCAAGAGGGCACTCTGTAATCCATTCACTATAGGTGGTCCATTGTTTTGGCTATGCGCAGTAAGTACAAGTATTGATCAATCAATCAATAGATCGTCCATACTCACTCACAACTTCCACAACACACAGAACGATATGTCACCTGAGAAAGGTAACAGTAGGACATTGTATTATTCAATAAGATTTAAGCTTGTGATGGAGGCATTGCTTTATGGCCTTGGTCTGTCAGCTTCGCAAGGATCAATGGTTGGCCAGTCAATACTCCAGCAGTATCTGATCATCCAGAACTTGAAACAGATCAATCTGGAAATCATCAAGGAGCCTGACAAGCAACAAAAGATCCTCGAGACCAGGCTGTCCAACATTCCCAAGCAGTTCACGCTGCCCACCCATCCTCTGCAAGAGTTCAACACCTTCATCTTGGAGGAGTGCAAAGTGAAAGACTCCAACGCTGCGCCACTCTGGCTTGTATTTTCCTCTGTCACACCTGGTGCCGATGACACCAAGATCATCTTCAAAAAGGATGACGTTCGACCTGATGAACTATGTCTTCAGTTATTTGCTGTCATGGACAATGTAAGTCAATCATTTTGCTCCACCATCTCACTCACTCATATATGACCAATCAATCAATCAATCAAACAGATATTGAAGGACAATGGCATCGATTGTAACTTTACACTATTCAAATGTATTTCAGTTGGAAGTGGACTTGGAGTGATTGAAGTCGTCCCGAGGTCGGTTACACTTGGCGATTTTGTTAGACGACAGGACAAGTACAAATCGATCGAAGAATGGCTCAGGAAGAAGAATCCAGACAACAACAGTGACTACATCGATATCTTCCTCAAGTCCTGTGCTGCATACTGTGTAGCAACATATCTCCTAGGCATCTATGATCGTCACAACGACAACCTCATGGTCTCTGACACTGGTCACTTCTTCCGTAAGTCCACTCCCCAACAACACCCAATCGGTCACTTTAGCTGAGTCTGACTAACAGACTAACTCATAAACACATACAACAGACATTGACTTTGGATACTACTTGGGTAAGGTTACAAAGTTCCTGTTCTTGGACAGAGAGACGGCACCATTTGTGTTGACCAAGGACATTGTAAAGGTGATGGGTGCAAGAGAGAAGGAGTACAAGGACTATTGTGTCAAGATTTATAACATACTAAGGAGGAACTCGAGAGAGATACTCAATCTAATATCAATGATCAAATCGGATAACAATGGAATTGAACTGCTTCGTGAACGAATGAAGTTGGATCTCACCGACAGGAATGCAGAGCAACACTTTCTGGAACTGGTCAAGGAGTCCAAGAAGAACCTGCGTTCAGAGATCAACAATGCAATACATGTTATGGTTCATCCATAACCATTCAATACCTATTCATTCAGCATCTGCGACTTGTTGAAGTTGATTGATTTGATTCAAAGATGAATACTCTTTCACACTTAATCATAAGGATCATGCCGAGAAAGAGGCTCAAAGGAATAGATGGTGGGATGCCATTCTCTATTTTGCATTCATTTCTCAAGTTTATTCCAACAATCACACTACAATTCTGCTTTGAGTTATGGATGGCCTTGACTTTGAAATCATCTGGAGACTGTTCTGACGACAATACAGCACTACCAGTCCCTATTTCGGAGGCGGATGATATTGGAGTTGTATTATTTTGTAACAATACAAAGACACAAGCCTTCGTCTCAGGTCGCCACATTTATGACTTCAACTGCATCACAAGCCGTCCCAATAGATTATGTGTGTTGGTAATTGCAATTAAACTTATGTATATGTCTTTATTTAAATAGCCAAAATGATCCAATGCCATCGCCTTCTTTTCTTCTGAAGTCACTTTCGTTGGTTGTAGGGATATATAGTACTGCTCCACCAAAGTCGACTAGCCTGCAGACAATTTGAAGGTCGAGGTGCGAATAGTTGGATCCTAAAGGAATATAGTATATTTGCAATGTTATGGTTGGAAATGACCTCAGTAGCGGCAAAATGGAGAGTGGTACAACCTCGCGTAGTGTTCTCGGTTCGCATGCTGGCTGTATATGAATGATCAAGTGCGAAAGTCTGTTGCTCGTTCTTGTCAGAGTAATATGATTTTCATCCAAGGCAATTGAACTAACATGATTATTCATTCTTGTCAGAGTAATGAGATTTTCATCCAGAAATGATCCCAGCTCTAAGTATGGGATATCTTTTGTCCGCCATTTCTCGGTGGTATTGATGACGAAATGATGAATGTGAAGCTCATTGAGAGTATTGTGACCAAGAAGCAAACTGAAATTGTCATGTGAGAATCGAGAGCACCGAAGCGATAGTGATGAAACTGATGGGACGTATTCTGGTGCGAGAGGTTGGTTGAAGTGATGGCCTAATACCAACAATGTTACTGATTGTGGTATAAATCCAACTTGAAGGGGTTGGTTAAATGATTCTAATGATAAGTCTGTCACTGCTGGTGGTATATGTCCAATCTGAAGAGGTTGATTGAATGATTCTAATGATAATTTCGTAACTGATGGTGGGATATGTCCAATCTGAAGAGGTTGACTGAATAACTCTAATAATAATCCCGTAACGGACGATGGTATGTGTCCAACCTGAAGAGGTTGATTGAATGATCTGAATGATAGTTGGGTCACTGATGGTGGTATATGTCCAACCTGAAGAGGATGATTGAATGAATCATATGTGAATGATAATTGCGTAACCGACGATGGTATATGTCCAACTTGAAGAGGTTGACCGAATAATCCGAATGATAAATGCGAAACCGACGATGGTATATGTCCAACTTGAAGAGGTTGATTGAATAATTCTAAAAATAATCCAGTAACCGAAGATGGTATATGTCCAACTTGAAGAGGTTGTTTGAATAATCCAAATGATAATTGCGTAACCGATTGTGGAATATGTCCGACCTGAAGAGGTTGATTGTATCGTTCAAATGATAATCGCGTAACCGATGGTGGTATATGTCCAACTTGAAGAGGTTGATTGAATCGTTCGAATGATAATTGCGTAACTGACGGTGGTATATGTCCATCTTGAAGTGGATGATTGTATGAATCGAATGATAGATGTGTCACTGACTGTGGTATGTATCCAACCTGAAGAGGTTGATTGAATAATCTGAATGACAACTGTCTCACATACGATGGTATAAGTCCAATTTGAAGAGGTTGATTGAATGAATCAAACGATAATTGCGTCACTGTTGGTGGTATATGTCCATCCTGAAGAGGTTGATTGAATATTTCAAACGATAGTTGCGTCACTGAAGGTGGTATATGTCCAACTTGAAGAGGTTGTCTAAATGATCCAAATAGAATTTGGGTCACTGATGGTGGTATATGTCCAACTTGAAGAGGTTGATTGAATGAATCGAATGATAACTGTGTAACTGATTGTGGTATGTACCCAACCTGAAGAGGTTGATTGAATGATCTGAATGATAAATGCGTAAGAGACTGTGATGAATGTACAAGATGAAGATCAGAGAGTTTCTCGATCGCAAGGGTTAATGGAGGGTCGTAAGTTCTTGTTCCATAAACACCTGTTATATGCTTATATGTTCTTAAGTTCTTCGCGGTGGCTGATCCAAGATGATGTTTCAACTGTTGAGCAATACTCTCTCGCTGCCAAAAGATATTCTTACACACCAAGATAAAACATAACGTGTCAATATCACTAAGGGAAGCTACAACAATTCTTAAAATATAAATAGGAAGGGATGCAATCATGATTGTTTGTATTTGAGGTTGTAATTAAGATAGAAATAGAAATGGAGTGAGAATGGGTAGAGAAAGAAACTTATCTTGACAAACATGTTGAAAAAATAGACTCAGTCTTTGGTCCCTGAACTCCGGGTCTGATTGATAGTGATGTTTGATTGATGAGATCTAATATACTATCAATTGGATAGATATTAATTACATTGGATGGCATTTAATATGAGTTGGAGATATATTTAGTTTATTATCAATTTGATACTGTCTATTGTAAAGCACCAAAACGATACACTCCAAACACCGTTCTGCGGTATCTGCCAGCGGTTCAATTGTCATCTTCTTCTGATGGTACTGATAGTGCTGTTGCCCCATCGCGATCGAGTAGCCTCCAGAATATTTCAATGTCATAACAATCTCAATCGAAGTGTGGCAGTGATGACTTTATTTATGTCCAAAATTAAATAATTATTTAAATTGGAGATTTATAGACTACTCTTGAAGATGGGAGCACGCTTCTCAGTGAAGGCACCGACAGCTTCGACTAGATCATCGTTCTTTAGGAATATAGAGTTGTGTAGAGCAACACGGAGGAGTCCCTCGTCTATGGTGTGATCTTGTGCATGGTTCATGATCAGTTTGGTCGACTGAACAACCATTGGTGAGTTGGCAGCGATCTTGGCAGCCATGCTCCTGGCCTCGGCCAGCAACTCGTCTTTGTCCTTGAGCACCTTGTTCACCAGGCCAAACTTCTCGGCGGTGGACGCATTGGCGGGCTCGCCAGTGAATGCCATCTCACGAGCGAATCCAGTTCCACAAACCCTCTGTATTCTCTGGAGTGTGCCAAGGTCGGCTACAATAGCCAACTTTGTTTCCTTAATTGAAAAGGCAGCATCACTGGTGCACAGTCTAATGTCGCAAGCTGTTATCAAATCGACAGCACCTCCAATGCAATGTCCATGTACTGCTGCAATCACTGGTTTGGAGCATTTGTTTATCTTGTCGAATGCTTTTGTTTGTTTGGTTGGTGAGTCATGTTGGTCGACTATCACATGTCATCATTCATTCATTCAATCAATGAATCAATCAATCGAATACATACATGCTTGCCATCTCCTGACCAGTTTGAAAATGGCTACACCTTGATCGGCAAAGGATTGTGTGTCGTCTGTGCTCATTGAAGAGGAGGCTGTGACCAAGTCCAATCCAGCAGAGAACAACTTGCCATCTGACCATATTATTACAACTCTAATCGACTTGTCATTCTGTATCTTGTCAAATGCTGCTATAAACTCTGTTCATACATATATGATAATGTTAGATATGATTGATTGTGTATGAATGATTGAATGATTGAATGAATGAATGAATAACAAACCATTGAAGAATTGATCAGTCATCAAGTTCAACTTGTTCTTGCTGGTCATAATCAACTCTGCAATGCCATTATCCGATGTTTGTAACTTTAGACATTTGAACTCATCCACTGGTACACTAATGAATGATGGTGAGTTGTTTGTATAATAGAGTGATTCCATCCTGTTATAATTATATGATATAGATAATAGATTAATTGATTGATTGATTGATTGAATGCAATGATTGAAGGTATGATGATGAAGATGGTGCAATCTCATGTGTGTTCAATTTAGGTATCCAATGGCGTCAAAGTGTTTGTGGTTTAGGGGGGTGTTAGGGCAAGGGCAAGGGCAAGGGTAGGGTAGGGTAAGGGTAGAGGAAGGGAAGGAGAAGTTTAATTGAAAGGCTTCATTGTAGACTATCCAGTGGTTGGAAGCTAAGGATATCTAATCAAATCTTGGAAGTTCCAAAGTGAGATCGACGAATGAGACAACACTTTCAAACAAAACCGAGTCGTCTTTTCATTTACAATCGTAAAGATAGATAGATAGACTCAGAGCAAGAAAGAATAAGATATGAGCTCACCACCTGATAACTCTGCAGAGTACTTGAATGACTCTGCCAAATTGTTTGATTCCTCAAGTGATGAAGAGGTAGTTTACTCATACACAACTTACAATCGTGTTGAACCAATAAGTATGTTGCGTATTAGTGAAGCAGTGTGAAGAGTTGGTTGGTGATCTAACATACAATCTCATCTATTCAAGAGAATCATAATGATATCAAATCCATTCAGGTTAGATTGCCACAGAAGCATTCTTTGTGGGCACATTTGTCTTGGAATGCCGGTGTCGCTCTGTCCGACTACCTCGAGGCCACCGTTGACTTTACAAACAAGACGTATGTGCATGTGATGTGCTGTACTCGATGGATTGGCACTTACTTTCAATCAATCAATCAATCAATCAATCACATCATTCAATCAATCATTACAGTGTATTGGAGTTGGGTTCAGGTGCAGGACTACCATGCTACATGGCAACATTGAATGGTGGATCTAGGGTTGTAATGACAGACTATCCAGACAAGACACTGATCGATAACTTACAATACAATAGAGATAATACATTGCCATCTTCAATAACAGATAACAAATTGTTGGCTGTTGTAAGTATCATCATCAATCATTCAATCCATGATACTTACATTAATGTTACATCCAATAGCCACATCTTTGGGGCAATGAACCAGAGACTTTGAATCAACTATTGGACAACCCAGCGAACAAGTACGACATTATCATTCTGTCGGACCTCATCTTCAATCACCAAGCTCACTTCAACATGTTGAAAACATGTGCCGCATGTCTAAGCGACAATGGAATAGTATGTGTACATTACATATATTGACATTCGATGCTCACTTACTTACTACTATAACTTACAACTATATAGATATATGTGTCATTTACTCATCACAGACCACACCGAAGAGAGAAGGATCTAAACTTCTTTACAGTTGCAGCAGAGGCACCATTCAATTTCATCGTGGAGAAGTTCATGGAAAGACTTATGAAGCCAATGTTTGAGGTGGACTTGGGTTGTGAGGTCACCAGGTCAACTGTCAACTTCTACACCATGAGGAAACAACCACAACAGTCCTCCTCCTCATGAGACAGTCAGAGACAGACGGAAGATAGCGCACAATAAACCAAAAAGACAAGAAGAATGGAATTCACCAAATATTTGAATCGATCTGGGTTGGATTGACACCGATTGGTCGATGGATTGGTGTGTCGGTCAGGTCTAAACATTGTTGGCCCACTGTTGAGGGCTGCTACATGCTTGACAATCCAAAGGTTGGCTACTACATTCATTTATTCAAATTAAATGTATAATTACAAATAGAGATAGACATGTCTGAATCATTCATTGATGTATGTTTGAAACAAGAATGATTGAATGAAGTGATTGGATGGATGAGCGAGGCTAACACATAACTATGTTCTCTCTCTTTAAAGAGCGAGAGATTCTCAAATAGAGAGATACAGGTGTTTGATAGGATATTCAAGTCAATCGATTTGGAATCAAAGGGATACTTCACAAGGGATGACTATCAGAGATATATAGATTCCTTGAAGAGTCGCAGTACAACATTATCAAAGATAGCTTCATTGCCATCATTCGATAACTATCTATTATATCAAAATAGTACAGTTGTTACCTATCGTATGTAACATTACATTATAATTGATACGATAGATCCACTAACAATGTATAACAATGATAAAGACAACTTCTTGACAACTCTAAGTCTCGTTGGTATAAGGTTAACATTCAAAGACTCAGAGGGTGATGCATCCAATGTGCCAAGGGCATCAATGATGTCTAGTACACCAATATATAGTGCCAACACCATCACATTGCCAGCAACAGACATTAGAATTAAACAACAACAACAACCACAATTTCATCAGCATCTACATCAATTGGATACCAAGTCAAAGTCATCGCAAGACTCTTCATCTTCATCATCACCTGCGGCCAATGTTAAAAAGACACAACCAGAGTTGCCAACAACTACAACAACACCATCTGTATCCAACAATGTACCAACGACCAAGACCAAAGCTGCATCATCACTATCCATTAGCAAAGTACCATCATCATCATCATCAAACGTGGCCACAGGACAACAACCATCAATACGTTCTGCATCATCTCTCTCAATCAACAAGGTACCAACACAACAACAACAACAACATGTATTAGTTCAACAAAAATCATCATCATCATCAAGCAAAGTACCTGCAAAGACTGGATCGGCATTATTCTCTAAACTTCCGGCAGCCCCTCCACCTGCACCAAAGGAGGAGGAGCCGGCACAAGAGCAGAGTGAACAACTTTCGCCACCATCAAGCAAGTCAAGACTGGACAAGCTTGGCTTCCACAGGGATTCATCAAGGAAATAGACTACAATGATGTCAACAACAAATTGATTGGAATCCATTAAATCCTTGAATGGATAAGTATGGCCTCGAGGCACATACGTTATATTATTATTATTATTACTACTACTTTGCGACTTCTAGACAAGATTGGCAATGTATTGGCCAAACTTCTTGATGGCTGGCTTCATGATGTTGTCGCTGCTGGTGCAAGCACTGATCTTCTCACAGATGGCGGATGGGTCCTCCTTTTGCAACAAGAGATTGATGATCAGTGGTGTGTAGTCATTGACGATGGTGACGCACGACTCGACAAAGGTCTCGCTGACCAACACCTTGCAGTCGCGGTCCAACGTGTCGATGATGACGGTCTCGTTGGCCTTGCTGTTGAGGAGTGTGTCGATTCTCTTGACCATGTACTTGCACAGTGGGCAATCGAGCTCGCCTCCAAGGATGGTGAATTGGCGCAGCAGACCGACCGACATCATGGTGCTGTTGCAGGCACCGATTGAGCTGCAGATGTGACGTGGGTCCTCCTTGTTCTCGAGAGCGTGGATGATGAGTGGCGTGTAGTCGTTGACGATGGTGATGCACGACTCGATGAATGTCTCGCTGACCAACACCTTGCAGTCATTGTCCAATGTGTTGATGATCACAGTCTCGTTGGCCTTGCTGGCGAGCATCGTCTCGATTCTCTTGACCATGTACTCGCACAGTGGGCAGTTGAGCTCACCGTCGATCATGGTGAGGGCATTGGCGGACAGCTTCTCGAGGAGCATGGTCATTGACATTGACACCTCCTCCACGGTGGTGCTGTTGCAGGCGCCAATTGAGTTGCAGATATGACGTGGGTCCTCCTTGTTCTCGAGAGAGTTGATGATGAGTGGCGTGTAGTCATTGACGATGGTGACACATGACTCGACAAAGGTCTCACTGACCAACACCTTGCAATCATTGTCCAATGTGTTGAWTTATGACAGTCTCGTTGGCCTTGCTCTCGAGCAGAGTCTCTATTCTCTTGACCATATACTCGCACAGTGGGCAGTTGAGCTCACCAGCAGATGCAGGCACCGATGAGTTTAGTATCAAAGCAGATATAATGATAAARGGCTAACAATGTAAGTGACTTCATCTTTAATATTTATGTTATTGTATGTATTTGTATAAATGTATATGTTGTTGATTTGATTGAATGACTGGTCTAGAAGTTGACTTGGCATCCGCCCACTTCCTTCCTCCTCAACTAGAAGTAAAGTAATACAAGAGTGTGGTTTTTTGATGGGTCTCAACAAAAACGCCTCAACTTTTGTTGAGAAGTTTCGCCTTAACCCCTAAAGACAGAGATAGGCTGCGCATTAAGTGTAAGCGGGGGTGTTGGTGCACCCCCTTACTTTATTTGGAATTAATTGTGCACAGTTTTGGAAAGTTACAAGTCAATTGGTATTGACCTGTTTATTGTAGGGTAAGGATAACAAGAAAGAGCCACAGATGACTAGACGGAGAAGGTGATCGAGCCCAGCGTCGGTTGCCAATAAGTAATGACATGATCCCTAGTGATGGACAACAAGTGTGATGGACTATGGCAACTAATCTGATTGATGGATTAATGATGGGATGAACCAGGTGTTTGATTGATCAATTGAGTAAAACAAAAAAAAAAAAAAAAGTAAAAAATGAGTAAAATAAAAAAAGACCAAAAAATGATGAGGACCTGGATCCGTCTCTTGAAGAGCGAGATACCTTTGGTGGTGTTCTAAGAGTTGGTCAATGGACTGG